GTTCTAAAATTGAGTACTGATGATAATTGCACAACTCTGTAAATTTACCAAAATTAATATATTTAACATTTAAAATTAGTGTGTGTCATGTATATATATTATACTTTTAAAAAGTTATTGTTTTAAATGGGAGTTCCATTTTTAATTTTTTGAGAAAACTCCATACTGTTTTCCATAGTGGTTGCACCAGTCTGCATTCCCATTAGCAGTGCAAGAGGGTTCCTTTTTTCTGCATCCTCACCAGCACTTGTCATTTGTTGATTTGTTGATGATCGCCATTCTGACAGGTATGAGATAGTATCTCATTGTCATTTTGATTTGCATCTCTCAGATGATTAGGGACTTTAAGCTGATTAGTGACTTTAAGCTTGTTTTCATATGTCTCTTGGCCTTCTGTATGCCCTCTTGAAAAGTATCTATTTAGGTCCTTTGCCCATCTTTTGATTGGATTGTTTATCTTCCTTTTGTTAAGTAGTATGAGTTCCCTGTAAATGTTGGAGATTAAACCCTTATCAGTGATAGCATTGGCAAATATGTTCTCCCATGCAGTGGGCTTTCTTGTTGTATTGTTTATGGTTTCTTATCCTATATAATAAAAGGCAAATATGCAAATAGACAGAACAGCAGAACAACTGAACAACCAAACAACCTGTCTCTATGACGTGTGCTGACCACCTGGGGCATGCGTGGAATATGGCAGGTGTTGGCAGCAGGTGGCAGAGCATGGAATATGGCAGGCATCGGCCATGGCAAGATGGTGGAGCAGATGAGTGGGAGCACCAGACCAAGGTGGGTCACTGGTCACTGTCATCAGGGGGAGCCTTTGGTGGTTACTGAAAATTCTTTGCTCCCGCCGGCTGCGGTCCTGCCCAGTGCTCGCACCTGCTGCCAGTGCTGGCCCCACTCACACTTACAGCTGGCGGCGGAGCCACCACTCTCACCCACTGCCAATGCCTGGCACCGGTCCCGATCACTTGACGCAGTCAGCAGGTGCAAGTGACGGCTGTGGGATCCGATCACCCCTGAGGGCTTCTTCAACTACCCCTGCTCCTGTGGGGCGATTGGGCAGCAGCTGCCACTCACAGTCACATATGGCGCCGGCCCCGCTCGTACCCGCTGCTGGTGCTGTCAGCAGGTGCAAGTGGGCCAGGCGCTGTCAGCGCATGGGAGTGGCATTGGTGGGAGTGGAGCTGGAGGCAGACAGAGGACCATGGGTTGCAGAAAGAGGGGCTGAGCTGGGGCACAGAGGATGGGCTAAGACCTGCCCCTGTATCCACCGCAGCCTCGCAGCCTAAGTTCCTTTCAAGGTGCATGAATTCATGCACTGGGCCTCTAGTCCTACATAATCCTATCTAATAATAGACAAACATGGTAATTAACCATACCTCTGCTATGCTTCCCATTGGCTAATCAGGGTGATATGGAAATTAACTGCCAACCAAGATGGCGGTCGGCAGCCACACAGCTGAAGCAAACATGAGGCTTGGTTGCCCCGGTGATGGAGGAAGCCAAGGTTCCCCGCCTGCTGCAGCCCAGCTCTGAGCTCCGGTTGCAACAATGTTGCAATTATAGAAGCTAAACAAACCCCAGATACCTGCTTTCAGCAGGCTGGTCTCGGAGCTGGAGCCGCAACAAAGTTATAATTACAGAAGGTAAATAAATCCCAGAATAAAAAAAAAAGAAAAAAGGAGAGACTGGGAGCTTCAGTTGCAGGCTTGGCCTGCCTGAAAACGGCCCTCTGCCCCTCATCCAGACTGGCCAGGCACCCCAGTGGGGATGCCCACCCTAAAGGGGGTGCAGGCAGCCTGAAAAAAGCCTTCAGCACCTCATCCAGGCTGGCCAGGCACCCCAGTGGGGACCCCCACCCTGAAGGGGGTGCGGGCAGCCTGAAAACAGCCATCAGCCCCTCATCCAGGCTGGCTAGGCACCCCAGTGGGGACCCCCACCCTGAAGGGGGTGCAGGCAGCCTGAAAACAGCCCTCAGCCCCTCATCCAGGCTGGCCAGGCACCCCAGTGCAGACCCCCACTCTAAAGGGGGTGCGGGCAGCCTCAAAACAGCCATCAGCCCCTCACCCAGGCTGGCCAGGCACCCAAGCAAGACCCCCACCCTGATCTGGGACACCATTCAGGGCAAACCAGCCAGTCCCCACCCGTGCACCAGGCCTCTATCCTATATAGTAAAAGGGTAATATGCAAACTGACCCTAACAGCAGAAAGACTGGGAATGACTCGTCACTATGACACACACTGACCACCAGGGGGCAGATGCTCAATGCAGGAGCTGCCCCCTGGTGATCAGTGCGCTCTCACAGCGGGGAGCTCTGCTCAGCCACAAGCCAGGCTGACGGCTGCCAGTACAGTGGTGGTGGTGGGAGCCTCTCCTGCCTCCTCAGCAGCGCTAAGGATGTCCAACTGCAGCTTAGGTCTGCTCCCCGCTGGCAAGTGGACATCCCCCGAGGGCTGCCGGACTACCAGAGGAATGTCTGATTGCCAGCTTAGGCCCAATCCCCTGGGGAGCAGGCCTCAGCCAGCAGATGGTCATCCCCCGAGGGGTCCCAGACTGTGAGAGGGCACAGGCCTGGCTGACGACCCCCCCCACCATGCACAAATTTTTGTGCACCGGGCCTCTAGTCCTATATAATAAAAGCCTAATATGCTAAGTATCCAGTCATTCAACCAATCAAAATGTAATATGCTAATGATATGCTAAAGCCACTCAACCGGTCACTATGACGTGCACTGACCACCAGGGGAAAGATGCTCCGACCAGTAGGTTAGCTTGCTTCTGGGGTCCGGCCAATTGGGGCTGAGCAAGATAGGCTGGACACGCCCTGGAGCCCTCCCATGGTCCCTCCCTGGTTGGCCAACCTCCCGCATCACTCCCCGGCCCTGATTGTGCACCGGTGGGGTCGCTTGGCTTGACCTGCACCCTCTCACAATCCAAGAACCCCTCAAGGGATGTTGGAGATCCAGTTTCAGCCCAATCTCACAGGCCAGGCTGAGGGACCCCACTGGAGCATAAATTTGTGCACGGGGCCTCTAGTTGTTTAAAGGAGCCTATCTAGACCATTAAGTACATAAATCTTTGTATTTTTTTTCATATAGTAGTTACCCATGCTTTCATAAAACTATCACAGTTGAATGGTCCAAAATAAATCATGTAAGAAATAGGAATTTGTTTGATTTATTAAAATTAATGTGTTCTTAATTCTAAACTCAACCAGATGTAAGCTTGATTAGATTAGCAATTATATTAAATCGAATGGGTATCTTATATTAAACAACCTAATTCATTTCTCATTCATTCATAATAATTTTCAATTGTATTAATCATTCTGAACATATTTTTTTAAAGGGTGTTATTTTTTAAAAAAATAGAGAAAAAAGAGCTCTAAAGTGGCACCAACTATCCACCCCTCTCTTCCTTGATTACTTGCTCTTCATTGCTAGATTTTTCCAAAACATAGATGGGTGATAAAGAAAATGTTAATGATTCTTCTTAGATAATGGCTTGGCTGGGGTGAGGCTGCATGTTTTCAGTTAGCTGGCTATTCTCACAGAAAAAGGTGTCAGAAATATTGTCTATTTGGTTCACTAATATAGTTTAAACACTAATAATGCCTGGTACACAGTGACCTTCTATTAAAATTTTGTTGCAGTCTTTTTTATTAAGCGGGGTCTTAAAGTATCATCTAAATAAACAAATGTAACTTCAAGGAGTCTTCAGGTATTTCTTTGTTCCTTCCCTCATTAGAAACAAATTGGCCCCTTATTAAACCAGTTTCTTTCAAGTCTAAATCTTAGATAAGGGGACAGGGTATGGGATAGGAGGGTAAAGACAGAGCAAAAGTTCTTTCTAAAAGCATCACTAATATGTGATAGGTAACTTTTACAAGGAGACTCTACCTCAAGGTCAAAATCGAAATCTACATGTGGCAAGTTCAAGCTTACCAAAATGGTTGTTTGAAATCCACAGTAATTTTAAACCAAAACATACTCAATATATAACCTAAGCACATTATAAGCTTCCTACTCTTTTGCCAAGGGTAAAACTATATTTAATAATAGAAAAATTCCCAACACATAAGCTAACATCAGCTATACTACATCTCATATTGCAAGAACAGGTAACTATAAGCAGGACTTATTTTTGTGTGTGTACTAGTTATTAGGAAAATTTTAGAGATGCAAGTATATAGACCCTTTCAAAACTTTTAAGTGTTGATGGCACTAGGAGTTCACTGCATACATTTTCCTTTCAAAATTTATGCCTTTTCTATTTACATATTTGCATGTATACTAAGTAAGCATTAGTCTTAATTTCATCTGCAATAATTTGTGGTTTTAGATGTTCAAATTGTGGTAGAGATATAAAGAAACTTTCCTAAGTTAGAGGAGAAAGTGCAAGAGGGTTTCAAATGAGCAATCAATGACCAAAAGATAAAAATTTAATAAAGGTACAGAAAGTGGAAAAAGGTGGCAACCACTAGTACCTCATGACATTATTAAAAACATGTAGGAAGGTAAAGAAAGACAGTAGACACTCAAAATTAAATAGAAGCAAAGTAGAGCCACATATAAAAAGATATTTACACATTGGAAAGGCTTTTCTTTTTCAATAAACACAGGTTTTCTTATTTCTCACTTACAACTTTAAATGAACTACTTCCTCCTGGTTGACCAGAATCCCTTGAGTTACTCTCAATAGAAAAGCTCAGCATGATCTTTACTCTTTCTCTAAATCAAGATTAAAACACAAATTTCCAAAAGTGTTAGCTCCTGCCATGTTTTCTCATTGGTATTTATGGTAACTCATCAGATTTGATCATATTACATAACTATGTCAGACTGTGGTTTTATAATTATGAGTAAAACCTACTTCTTAAAACAATGATTCCTTGTGAATAAAATTATTTAATATGTAATCTACACATATGAATTTCAACTCTTTTTAAAAATAATTTAATGTAGACTTAAAAATCACAGCTTATTTTTCTTACCATTCAGTAAACAAGATAACCATATCCTCATAACTGGCATAATGTTCCATAACTTCTTTCATTAATCTCACTTTTTGGCCTCCTCCAATGCTATTAATTCCATCACCACCTCTCCACTCTTCTCCTTGACCAAGGACCTATAAATAAAATCAACATTTCATCCCTGAGCAAAATTTCAAATGATAGTACCATAAAAACTGTAAGTCATCAGTAACTTGCATAGTATTACACAGTAACCACTTTTTAAACATTTCACTAAGTCATGAAACTAGAAAGCAAACAACGTGATACCTAGTCAGATCATAATTCTTTAATGTTTTCCACCCCATAAAAATACCATTCCCAATTTTATCATTTCGAAGTAGACTCTAATCTGGGAGAGGGGTGGGAGGTGGGGTGTCACAGAAATTATTTCTCATATTTTATTTCTATTTGTCCAGATTTAAAAAAAAAATGAAGAGAGTTTCCATAACACTTTTCAATAGGGCAGGAAATCAGTATGAGAAACACTGAAAGCCCTTGAAGCTCAGTAACTCCTGATAGGGCCATCGAAAGTTTTCCTACTGAACCAGAATAGGTTTACGAGGGAAACATAAGGGGTGGGGGCATCAATCAAGCATTCCCTTCTTTATACATTACCCTCAAAAGCTTAACAGTAATTCATCTATGCAAGAAATTGCCTAAGTACAATTTATCAGAACTAAACTTGGAGCGGTTCTCAATAAGCAGATCCCTCCTGAATTAAAAGGTGACACAAACATAAACCTTGTATCTTTGTTTCATCTGAAGACTGAAATTCCCAAAGTAATAATATTCTTGGAGATTTTTGAAATTAAGGATGAATGAAATAAAAAAAATACAAAAGAAAAGGATAAAGTACATTTAGAAAATAAATAGTATTAGTTTCAATTTTACTTAACATTGAACCAAATATAAATCTGTCTGGCAAAGCCCATGGGCTCCCAACCTTACTTCTCTAGTTATCATTTCATGAAGGTTGGAGGAAAAAGGCTAACCAAGAAAACAAACTGATGTTAATCTGGATTCATACTGAGGCTAGTCTAGTAGATATTTTAGTTTTGGCCCTAAAATGTGGCCTCCTGCCAGGCCTCTGTGGTTCAGTGGTTGAGCATTGACCCATGAACCAAGAGGTCACTAGTTCAATTCTCAGTCAGGGCACATTCCCCGGGTTGTGAGCTCCATCCCCAGTAGGAGGCATGCAGGAGGCAGCCAATCAATGTTGTTTCTCTCTCATCAATGTTTCTATCTCTCTCTCTTCCTTCCCCTCTCTCTAAAATCAATGAAAACATATTTTTTAAAAAAGTGGGCTCCTGCCCTGGCTGGTGTGCTAAGTGGTTAGCGTGATAGCCTGTGGATGGAAGGATTTCAAGTCCAGTTCCCAGTCAAGAGTATGTAGCTTAGATCCCCTGTTGGGGCATATGCGGGAGACAACCAATCAATGTGTCTCTCTCACATCAATGTTTTAATGTTTCTCTCCCTCCCTCCCACTTTCCTTCAGTCCCTCCCTTCAATCCTTCCACTCTCTAAAAATCAATGGAAAATATATCCTCTGGTATGGATTACCAACAACAACAAAAATTGGCCGCCTCTGGCCTGAAGATTTATTAGTATTACACTTTCATTCTACAGCCCTCTTGGACTTCTCCAATACCTCAGTAATACCGTGCCCAGGCCCATCTGAGAGAGTCTCTGTACAGTGCACTATAGTAGCCTCAATTCTGCTCAATTTTCTCCTTTCATTCCACTAAATCAGTGTTTCAAACTAGACCATGCATGTGAATCACATGGAGGGCTTGTTAAAACACAGACTTCCACATCCTGCTCCCAGAGTTCCTGATTTGGCAGGTCTGGGGTGGCATCTGAAAATCATTATTTCTATTTCCCAGATGATGCTGATGAACTCTGAGAACCATCCTATCCTAATATATAAAAACTCAAGGTCCGTAACGACCGACCAAAGGCTCGACCAAACACTGGAAGTCAGTCCTGCAGTCAGTGCTGGGTTGCTGTGGTGACCTAGCACTGACTGCCGCTGCTGCGGGCACGGCGACCCAGCACTGACTGCTGAGAGGGCTGCAGATCAGGCCCGGAGAGAGGCAGGGTCTGATCCGCAGCGTCCGTGGCAGCTGTTGATCAGCTGTTGCCTCTCTCTTTCTCTCAGGACTTCGCCAGCAGCCATAGCTCTCTTTCTCTCCACGCCTCCGTGGGGGCTGCTCATCAGCCCCACCTCTCTGATCAGGCCCAGAGATAGGCCTGGAGATGCTGAATGGCATAGAAACTGACCAATCAGAACCAAATATGGGTGAACTGCGAGGAGCCAATGGCTGCCTAGGAGGCAGAACTTCTGATGCTGACTGGCATAGTAACCAACCAATCAGAACCTAATCTGGGTGAACTGCGAAGGCAGAACCTAAGGTGGGGGCTGAGGAGGGGTTTTAAGAGCAACAGCTGTTTGGTGTAAGGTGTAAGAAAGCAGTTCAATTTTTTAATGACCGGTTTGGCAGTATAGTGCATATGGCTGGCTATCAGTCCAGATATAGGGACTAGGTATTTTTGTCTGCCAAGAGCATCTCCTCCTGCTGAAAAAGTCTTCTCCCCCCCCCTCCCATTTAAGCAATCCTATTCAATATAATGGATTTATACTAATAAAAGGGTAATATGCTAATTAGACCAGGTCAACCAGCCATCTTCCAGACGTCCGACTTCCTTTCGGACAAAGCCATGGTGGTGGGGGCCAAGGCAGAGGCAGTTAGGGGCGATCAGGCCAGCAGGTGACGGTAGTTGAGGGTGAGATCAGGCCAGCAGGGGAGGGCAGTTAGCAGTGATAAGGCAGGTAGAGGCAGTTAGGGGTGATCAGGCCGGCAGGGGAAAGCAGTTGGGGGTGAGATAAGGCCAGCAGGGGAGGGCGGTTAGGAGTGATCAGGCAGGCAGGCAGGTGAGCGGTTAGGAGCCAGTGGTCTCAGATTGAGAGAGGGATGCCCGACTGCCGGTTTAGGCCCAATCCCACAGGAATTGGGCCTAAACCGGCAGTCAGACATCCCCCAAGGTTTCCCCGATTGGAGAGGGTGCAGGCTGAACTGAGGGAACGCCCTCTTTGTGCATGAATTTCATGCACCAGGACACTAGTATAAACATATTTTCTGTTATTTTATAAACATGTTTATACAAAGCATTAGCAAGTATTATTGTCTGAGTGGCAGAGTATTAATAAGGCCAAAATTTATCTTTAAAACAATCAAGTATATATAAAATTTAATAGCAACTATGTAACCAAATTTCACCTTCCTCCTTTGGATTACACTTCCCGTTGTTACTATTGTTATAAAAATGTACTTTAGGCACATATTTTAACGTCTCCATGAATTAAAGTTATACCATACCTTCACAGTATAATTGAAGTATTTGGCTGACTGCATAAACCGATGAAATCCATCATTTTCTTTTGTTGCTATAGTTATGACTAATAATTTATCTGGAAAGATAGAAGGAAATATTATAAGATGGTTTACCAAGAAAGAAGTTAAATGCTCCCACTTTACAATCACTTGCACCCATGGGAATGCTCCAGTTTATTAATATACATAAGGATAAACAAAGAGCTGTTCAATAAATAGGCACCTCAAGCTGGTTATACTACTGCCAAATGATGAACCACAGAAAAGAAATCATTTTACCGGTAAGAATGTGCAATGATGTTTTTGGAAAAGCACACTCTTGACAAGATTTTCAACCCTAAAATAAAAATCACTTCCATAAAATACACAAAATTTTTATCTGTAAAGATAGACTCTCTTAGGTATTACCTAATCAACCAGCTTCACTGTCACCTATAAATCATCACTGATTTATTACACACATCAATGAGGTCTGGAATCACATGCTATTACTCAAAACACTAGCATGCACAAAAATAAAAGATCCAATCATGAGACTGGTCTTAATTTTATAAAATAAGTTATGATAAATTGGGAGCATATACTTAGAAACAGAATCTTACTTTTTTCTTCCTATTAATGAACTTTTGTATATGATAAGTCTACAAAAGCAACATTTACATCACACTCAACACTTTGTGTTTTTTTCTTAAAGAATGAAAGAAACATCTTTACTTATACAGCTCCTAGATCAATGGAAACTAAGGATAAAATAAACAAACGGGACTGCATCAAAATAAAAAGCTCCTGCACAGCAAAAGAAACCATCCACAAAACAACAAGAAACCCCACTGCATGGGAGAACATATTTGCCAATGTTATCTCCGATAAAGGTTTAATCTCCAACATTTACAGGGAACTCATACAACTTAACAAAAGGAAGATAAAACAATCCAATAAAAACAATGGGCAACGGACCTAAATAGATACTTTTCGAAAGAGGACATACAGGCCAAGAGACATATGAAAACATGCTCAAAGTCACTAATCATCTGAGAGATGCAAACACCATCTCACACCTGTCAGAATGGCTATCAACAAATCAACAAATGCAAGTGCTGGCGAGGATGCGGAAAAAAAGGTGGTGGAATGCAGACTAGTTCAGCCTCTGTGGAAAACAGTATGGCATTTCCTCAAAAAGTTAAAAATGGAACTCCCATTTGACTCAGTGATACCACTACTAGGAATATATCCCAAGAAACCAGAAACACCAATCAAAAAGGATATATGCATTCCTATGTTCATAGCAGTACCACTTACAATAGCTAAGATTTGGAAATAGCCTAAGTGCCCATCAGCAGATGAGTGGATTAGAAAACTGTGGTACATCTACACAATGGAATACCACACTGCTATGAAAAAGAAGGAACTTTTACCATTTGCAATAGCATGGGTGGGCCTGGAGAGCATTATGCTAAGCGAAATAAGCCAGTCAGATAAAGATATAAGTATCACATGATCTCACTAATTTGTGGGATATAATGAACAACATAAACTGATGAACAAAAATAGATCCAGAGACAGAGAAACACCAAACAGACCATCAAACCTCAGACGGAAGGCCGGGGAGGATGGTGGCGGGTGGGTAAGAGTTCAACCAAAGGACTTGAATACATGCATGTTAGCATAACCAATGGACACGGACACTGGGGTGGTGGGGGCTTGTCCTGGGGGGTGGGAGTGGCCAAGAAGGGGTCCATGGGGGAAAAGGGAGACATATGTAATACTTTAAACAATAAAAAAAGAATAAAAGGAACCAGAGTCAGCACTGCCCTGATAAATACAAAGCTTTCAATCCCCATTTTATATTGGATTATTATTTTCAGTCTAACAAAACACTCCCTCTTAGTAGAGCAGTAGATAGATTTAAGGAGTCATTTCAAAATACCTATAGAAGCTATTAAAGAAAATGCTTATTAGGAAAAGACATGTCTTAAAATACATAAAAGAAACAACTGCATCAGCAAGTGCTAAGTGTGCTAGGACTTTTTTTTTTTTTTTAACCTGAGTATACAGGATGACCAGTGGACTAAGAAAGCAAAACTAACATCTTTTTGACATTCAGGGTACTGGCACAGAGCTATATGATTTGATTCTCATTTGCCTGTTATAAATAAGAAAAAAATTCAGACTGTCTTAAGTGTCCCCTAAACAGTATACAATCATTGACAACAGCACTTAATGCCAATAAAGTAGCATTAAATAAATCAATTAAAAACAATTGCATATGACCCAAGGTAATCATCAAAATTTGAAAATAATTTAAACCACAGAGCATAAATAAGTGCAATATATATAAAGAATACAGTCAAACATTCATTAGTCAACCCCAAAAGAAAAATAGTTCCATGAAAATAAATATCAGCATTTTCAGATGATTTTTCTTTCTGTTAAGATATTTCTCACCATTCTGATAAATAAATACTCAAGGAAAAATAAGTCATTTTCATAAAGAAGTCAGGCCCCAAGTAAATAAATATTAAGAGTACTTTTTCAATTTACTATTCTTTTTTTATTTAAAAAAAATCATTTGTAATGTTTCAAACAGTACCTGATTAAGAAAATCTGACATATTACCATTCAGAAGAAAATTTGAAATACTTTTTATAAAAGTAAAGAACATGCTTTTTAAAGTTTCTTTTCTCTGTAATATGACTATTTAAATGTAGCTTTCTTTCTTATCTTTTTCGATATAAATCATAAAAATTAGCTATAAGTTTAGATTTTGACTGAATAGATTTTATGCTTACCATTTCCAATATAAAATTAACAGCAAGGATTTATTTCAGTATTCTTAACAGGAAAAGTAATGTTGGCCAGACCCTTGAGCAGAGAGATGTTACCTAATGCAATGACTCAGAAGGCAAAACTAAAAATGTGTAGGCTGGCAATCTTATGCTAAATGAAGACTCCTGCTGTTCCAATACTGTTGCTAATTACAAAAAAAATACTAGTAAGTAATTTTGTTAAATGAAGGTATGTTGAATAACATTATACATAAACACCTGTTTCCTCTCACCTGATAATCAGTATCATTACTGTGATGAGAAATAAATCTTATTCAATTGGGGGAAATAGAAGAAGAAAGTGCTGACATGTACCACTTCCAAGCTCTCTCCAACCAACTCAAAAGTCTAACTTGCTCACCATTTATGAAGTGTTCTTGTCAAAAAAATTAGCCTACATTTGATATACATACTTTAGATTTCACTAAAATTCACACTATAAATTTATCTAAAATGAAAAGACAAGACAATTGACCTAGAGCAGGGGTGGGCAACCTTTTTGTGAGTGCGTGCCAAAACCAGAAAAATCTCTGACTCAAAATTCTTCTGCGTGCCAACCCTAATTTTTTGAGAACATGTTATGCCTACTTGATATCTCTTAAGGTGTACGTATGTGAAGAACCTTGAAGAAATAATAAAATTCATTCGAGCAACAAAAACACAGTACATGATGATGAAAAATACATTTATTTTTTAATGTATACATGTACACTGATAGTCCGACAGAAAACTTTATGACTCCATTTGATATTATCAGTGAGACTTTTGCTGCCGAGAGAAACATAGAAATTTATTCCCCTTTCATTAGTACCGGTGGGCAAAGCGAGAGAGAAGGTTTCATTTTTATAGAGTGAAATTTTGAATAAGTAGGTGAGGCGGTTGTCTTGCATCTGAGGCTGAAACCAAAACACTGGTCAGATCTAGGAAGGCAGGGAGAGTTAAGGCAGAGGCATAGAAATTGCTCTTCCCTTCTCTTGTCAATCCATGTCTATGGTCTTTAAGATAACTTGTTATGTAAAATTATTTATTTATCTAAGATGCACCTACACTGAATTTATCTGAAAAATAAAAAAGTCGATATTAAGAAAAAAATTGTAAATGGAAGATTATAAGAGAGGGTTTCGCGTGCCAGCAAAAGTTACTGGCATGCCATGTTTGGCACGCGTGCCAGGGGTTGCCCACCCCTGACCTAGAGAATCAATGACAAATGTGAAAAAAAAAGGAAGGGACACTGTTACATATATTAACAGAATTAAGAGATAATTCAACCAAAGGTAAATCATGGACTTCTGTTGGGTCATAATTTGAAAAACTAACTGTAAAAGGTATATATGAGAAGATTAAGGAAATCGGAACACTAATTGGATATTTGTTGATATTCAGAAATTACTAAATTTTTAACATGCTAATGATATTGATTGTTTTTAAGTCTGTATAATTTAGAGACAGGTACAAAAGTATTTACACAATTAAAGGATACAGTGTTTTCAATTTGTTTCAACATTATTTGGGGTTCAATGGAAGGCAATGGAGAAGGAGAATAAAGATGAAACAAGACTGGCCATATGTGATGACTGTTAAAATTAGATTCCTGTTGTATATGTTTGGAAATTCCTATAATTAAAAACAAAGAGTTCAACCTTATGCACAGTCCCTAATCTTCCAACCAGAAAAATGACAAAAATATTCAAAATAAAAATTTTTAACAGTCTAAGTCACCTAAGTAAAAGGAAAAATGAAATAGAGAGAAGGCAGAACTTTTCTAACCAAACAAAATTATAATTTAAACAACTATAATTAGTACCTTATCCAATCCATCCACAATAACTGAAATGATAAAGTGAGATGATAGGAGGAATGGGCTTGAAAAACAAACACCCATCAAACACTACCAAAACTAATCTATATCAAAGAAATGCAATGGAAGCTCAAGTGTGGCCAAATGTAACCTCCATAGCCACTGTGTTAAACTATTAATAGATTACAGATTACAAATTAGAAAACAAATTAAACCGAAACCGGTTTGGCTCAGTGGATGGAGCGTCGGCCTGCGGACTGAAGGGTCCCAGGTTCAATTCCGGTCAAGGGCATGTACCTGGGTTGCGGGCACATCCCCAGTGGGAGATGTGCAGGAGGCAGCTGATCGATGTTTCTCTCTCATCGATGTTTCTAACTCTCTATCTCTCTCCCTTCCTCTCTGTTAAAAATCAATAAAATATATTTAAAAAAAAGAAAAAGAAAACAGATTAATACAGTTTGCATGAACAGGAAACATGCAATGCATCTATAGTGTGGTAGATTAGAACAACCATTTATCAATGAAAATCACATCAGGAAAACAACAAAAACTTCTGTAATCATCTTTACAATATCCTGTAAACTGCCTATCATTTAGTATAGGATTTAATAAATATTGAAGTAGCTAACTATTAAACTCTCTACAAAAATTCAGACGAATATCAGAATTTCTCCAAAAATCAAGAAGTCAATTTATTTAGAAAGTTCAAAACATGCTATGTCTCTGTTATGAATGCACTCAACAGTTCTGCCAGGGAAATGCATTATTTAAGAGTCCATTTTTTTATCCAAATAGTTGATATGAGAGCAGAATTTATTAGTATTTAGTGCTGATCTAATTTTTCTTTCAAATACAAACCATGGATTTAAAACAGAAATATGTTTTGCTTATATATCCTATCTCTAAATGCTAAATTGGCACATAAACATCTGAAAACCCAGCTGCCTTTGATCCCACCACTAAAGGATAAATCTCCTATCTTCCCAAGAAACTTTCTCTACAAAGAGTCAAATCAGTCCCTAATTATAAATTTGCAAATATCAAGAATTCTACCACAGGAATTCTGAATTCAATGTTCTCATTCTGCAACTCACTGACTTTATGTCCTCCTTCTGTAAAGATCAGTAGCTCTCAACTTTTACTAAAGGAATATGTTTTCTTACAAGGGTTAGCAGAGCACAGGAGCAGCAAACTTTTGCTGTATAAGAATGAACTGTAGGAGTTTCAATATGGCAACCAGAGTAGATTGATCTTTCTCACATTCCTCTGAAAACCAAAATGGAAATAAAACCAGATTGGGGCCCTTGCCAGTTTGGCTCAGTTGGTTGAGTGTTGTCAAATGCATGGGGCGGTTTGGTTCCTGGTCAAGGCATATGCCAAGGTTTTGGGCTCAATCCCTAGTAGGGGCATAATGGAAGCAGTTGATGTTTCTCTTTCTTAACAATGTTTCTCTCTCTTTCCCTCTCCATTCCTCTCTCTAAAATAAATAAAAACATATTTTAAAAAACACTAAATTGAGGAACATTCACCCTGAATTACCAATTGAAGACTACCTGAAGGAGAGACTTTTAAACCAAGAAGGGCAGAAAGCACCTGGAGACTGGTAGGAAAGGCCGGGTTGGGAGATGGGCTGGTCCAACTCTTACTGGGGGCAGGCTGAGGTTTCAGAGAGATATCTCTGCTCCAGGTGGGATCCCCCTGAGAAGAGTGAGGCCTGGACTCCAGGCTGGGCTGGAGCCTAGAACTGGGAATAGCTACCCACATAACATCCAGCAATGAAAACGGGGTTTCTATACACCAGGGAGAGATGCAGCCTGCCAGAGACAAAGCCACTTTTGTTCTCTAAGGGCCAGGGAACAGGATTTTCATTTACAGCCACTCACCCTGGGCTTTGGCAGAGTGAGGGTGTTGCAGACTGGAGTCGCCTGAGGAGAGTCAGGGATGGGAGACATTGGAAAGAGACATGGGAGATCAGCTGCCAGGATCCTTGTGATCAGTCATCCCCCGCCCCCAATATCTCAGCAGCCATTTTCCATGAGAGGAACAAGCCGCTCCCAGCAGCAGTCTGGAGAAAGGCAATTACACTGCCCTTGAGGATACAGCTCACCCTACCTTGATTCTCAATCCCTGCTGAGGAGGCAGCAGCAGAGGCTGGACTCACAGGTCTGGGCAAGCTAAGGGGCTGTCAGTGATGAGCTTTGGAGTGGAGCCATTACACCTACTTTCTCAGGAACCTGACTAGCACTTCCCCCTCAAGGGAGAGCTGATAGGAACTCCTGGTTTCTAACAGACCCCACCAGCTGCATACAAGGGGACCTGCCCTGCCAAGGTCAGAAAGATATTCTGAGACAGACTCAGACATGTGATTCTGGGATAGGGGAACACACATACCATCTTCCCTAAAATCTGAACAGCACTTCACCATCATGGTAGACCCAGAGATTCTATTCTCCTGATTCTGCCAAAAGCATTTTCAGAAATGGCCTTTAAGTGACTGGGTCTGACAGCCAACCAACAGGCAGAGGTGGGCAGAGGCAGATCCCAAAGTGCCTTGGAATGTTTTCTGACATGCCCCTGGGCCTGCTCTAAAGCCAGTCTTGGAGTGCAGCTTGGCCCCTCCCATGCACAGCCAAGGCCAGTGGAGACAGCAGCCATGAACTGTGGATCACTTAAAGGTTGAACAGGTTATTGATAGCCAAATGTGGACAGTTTCTGACATTGGCTTTCACCAAAGAACCTCCTTGGATGCCCAGAATTGGCACAGAAAACAGTAAGCCTCAGAGAACGTAAGAGCAGGTTCCAAAGGGAGATCCCAGCAGGCCCTAAATTCTGCCAAGAAAAACTCTACTCTGTTTTTTGTTTCGTTTTTTCTTCATTATTTTCTTTGTTGTTGCTTTGTTATTATTTTCTCTTTTCTTTCATCTCTTATTTTTCCCTTTCCTTTTCTTACTCTCTTTTTCCTCTTTTTCCCCCTTTTCTTAATTAATATTATTCTTTCTCTTCTTTTTTCCTTTTAATCTTTTTCTTTTCTTTTTTACCATTTTTCTTTTGCTAATCTTATTATTTTTTTGTTAATACTCACCAGAGGATATTTTTTCTATTGATTTTTTATATTTTTTTAATATATTTTTTATTGATTAAGATATTACATATGTGTCCTTATCCCCACGTTACCCCCCCCCACTCATGCCCTCACCCCCCTGTTGTCCGTGTCCATTGGTTAGGCCTATATGCTTGCATATAAGTCCTTTGGTTGATCTCTCTCCCTTACCCCCACCCTCCCCTACCTTCCCTCCAAGGCCTGACAGTCCAATCAATGCCTCTCCATCTCTGAAAGAGATTGAAAGG